GTAATTAACGTAAAAATTTTTGGATTTTTGATTTTAGGCGGAAATTACGACCTCTATATGTTACGCAAGCGACATGTTCGTGCGGCGAACGTCCACGGGTGCGGCCTACAACTGCTCTATTTTTAAATATAATGACTTAAAAAAATTTGGACATGTACTTCAGAATATGTATAAAATGATCCCAAAGTTAGACAAAAAAAAAAATTTTTTTCTACCTAAAAAAAATTCTCAAAAAAACATGAAAAATCGGGCTCCTAACCCTATGTCCCCCTTAAACGACCGCATTCTTCGCAAAACATACGGTGCTGCAAACGCTACGAGGCGATTGCCCATCGTATGATTTTTGCGCACGATGATGCTCAAGACACGCGTGATTGAAAAATTCGCGATTAATTTTCGCAATGAATACGCTCCGTGTCAAATCGCTCGCACGAAGGTATCGCGTAACACCGAGGACATTTATTCGAGCATCGGTGTCCCCTACATCGCTACGGTAACCAACGTTACACGGTATGCAATAACCTCGGCTACCCACGGCGGCTCTTAAATTTAAAATAACGCTATAATGTCGTGATTCAGTGTGATGTAATAGATTTAAACACGAGGCCGGTTCGCGATGTAGAGAGGCTAGTATCGCATTTCCATCGAATAAAGCTTTACCCCCGCGGCCAAAAGTTTCCACGCTATAAACCATTATCGCGATGTTTTCAACGACTAGATATTGCTGGAAATGCTCGATTTCGCGAATACCGCAACCCTCTTCTGGAATTGTAATACCGACTTTCCTCGTTAAATCACGTGCCAACTCACGTTGTAACGTGGAATGTCGGTATCTCACGGCGTTTCATCTTTCCTGTAGACTACCCGTGCGTAAATTGCCACGGTCATTGTAAATTTGCGCCCTTACGAGTGCGCGAGGAAAACATAGGTTATCCGAGTTGGATATCGTTAAAATCGAGCGTTTACCCGCGATATCAAGCGCGTTACCCGCACGACCCGTAGGAGGAGTGACTCGGAAAACTCGAATGTTTAATTCCTGCGCTACGTTCAAGTCCTCGGAACTTTGAGCTAACGAACTCACTAGGTTCCAGATATTCTCGTGAGTCAAATCACGAGATGATCGGAACGAAATACCCGCGGGCCCGTGCCAAAGATTCGGGGAAAAATCGAAACTAAGTCCGATGTAATCACCGGAAACGCAGAAAAGTACCACGTACGCGTGAAGCTCGCGAAACGCGTTTTCTAACCACGCGTAAACCTCCTCCCCCTCTGGTAATGGTCGAAGGCGAAAACCAGCCTCTCTCCCTACTACACCGAAATTTCTAAACTCACGCACGTTTTCCTTTATTAAATCTAAATAATTAAAATTATCCCCGTTATGATTTGCGATCTGTTCCGGCGCACCAACTTGATTCTCCGGAAACAGCGCTTCCTCCTCCTCCTCCTCTTCTCTCTCCAGTCTCCCCTCCCCACAAACTCCTATCTCGTCGTCGTCGGTTTCTTCGGCTTGATTTTCCGCCGACTGCTGCTGCTGCGTATTTTCTTCCATTCCTCCCTCTCCTCCACCGATTTGAACTGGAAAAATCGAAAACAAACGAATTAGTTTACCTTTAAAATTTTAAAAATTATTGTTTTTACACTTCCATACTCGAATTTTACGCGTTGTTAAAATTAAAAATAGTAATACATTTTATGTTAAATTCTCTCACCTCTATACAGGATTATTCCCCTTCTTGCTCACCGTTGATCGCGTTGATCATTGAACACTAATATTCCGGCGAGTAAGAAATTTCCGGAAAAATAATTCCTAAAAATTTCGTCCGATTAGAATAAAGGTATTCAAGTATGAAAGCGTTATCTGTGCAAAAATATATAACTATTTACCTCTTTCTCTCAAAAGTTTCTCTAGATTCTGTTCTTCCACTCTACTCAGTTCCTCCCTCGTATCTTCCTCTTGCATCTCATTATCCTCCTCCTCCTCCTCCTCCTCCTCCTCCTCCTCCTCCTCCTCCTCCTCCTCCTCCTCCTCCTCCTCCTCCTCCTCCGAATCTTCTATTATTATTGTATTTTTACCTCGTTAGTTGAACTCTAGAAAATTCACCATTATTTTTTAGCGGATAAAAAATTTTTATCCTTTTTCTTACAACGACAAATTTCTTATTACTCACCTGGTGAAAAAATCTCTTCCTCGTCTAATGAACTCACTTCGTGAGTTTCAACTTCTTCTTCCTTGCTCTCGCTATCCAAGTTAACGAGAGGTGGCTCAGATGTGAGCTCGATACGTGCACGTCCTAAAAAACATTTAATATTTCATTATTTTTTAAAAATTTACCAATATGAAATGATTATTTTCCATAAAAGAATATGTGCTAAGATTCACGTGAGGGTCCGGCTTTGGGCGAAGTATCAGCCCTCTGCCTTATACCGCGAGGAGTATGCTCTTCGGGGCGTGCAATACGTCGCACTCCTCTCACCCTCGCGATCCTGCGAGGCGATGCGTTCCAATGTTCTACTCCTAAAAAATTTTACTTTTAATTTTTAAAAATTATATATACATATATATATATATAATAAAAATTGGAATAGAAACTTACCGTTTTCATTCGCTTCCGAAATCGAACGCTGGAAATGAAATAATAGAAAGACTATATGCCCACCCGCATCCTTCTTTTCTTCACCGAAAATACTCCTCATTTCGATAATTTCACCGGCGTAGATTGAAAGTTGCCGATAGGAAGCAAAATGCCCCAAGCAAAATAGTACCGCTAGCACTGCACTAGGACACACCCCCTCAAATTTCGCAAACACTTCAAAATTTATTTCATCGTTGTCTGATAACGGCAATAAATACCTACTCACATCGAGCCCGCATAAACCGCGTGACAGTAGTAAGCATGTCTCGACGGTTTTTCTTAAATTCTCACCCATTTTCACGTACTCAAGATAATCTCGCCCGAATTCACGATATGAAGAAACACGACGCGTGTTGATCGCTACAATAAGAATTTTGAAATGCCCATTTTTCCCGTCTCGAACGCCTATTTATACCCTCAGTCGGTTTAAAAAAATTAATTGACTTCAGGTTGTGCATCTTTCACAAAGATTGTCACACAGTAGCGGCAACTTTACAAGATGTATATTACTTTAGTGTTCAAAGAGGTTATCAGACAAAAAAACATCATATATCCTTCGGACGATGTCGATATTCTTTTCCTATAACTTTTTACAACTTAATTGAATGTTAGTACATGAGCAAAACTTAATTTCGAAAACTTTCACAGTACTCACGCAATATAAAAAGGTTTGCACATGTTTACTTTATTGTAAATTGCTTCTTTTTTCGGTATGGGCATTTCCGATCTTTTTTTGGGTCTAACCTATTAGCTCGCATATGTTCAAAATAAAATTTCGAGATTTTCCAGGGTCCGGGTGTAAATAAGTAGTTTTATTGGGGTTGGAAGTTTATAGTTTTAGAGCTTTATAATTGAAAGCTCGTAAAAATTCCACGTTGACTGCAATATTTTAATTTTTTCTCAATCCTCAGTCCTCAGTTTCTCACTCCGGTGAACTTGGCACAATATTCTTTTGAATATCAGAACTTTTGAATAGTTCTAGAGTTCTATATAAATATTTTAAATAATTCTGATGATTAAATACAAAAAAATTGAATTCGAAAATATGGTTCGCCAAGTTCACGCAGCGCACCAAATCATGAAAATCAACTGTTTCTTCGGAGTTCTAGTTAGTTTTACAATAGTTCTACAGTTCTACAGTCAAATATATCAATAGTTCTAGCGATTAAAAGCAAAAAATCGATTTTTGAAAACCTAATGCCTAAATTGTAATTAATATAAGCTTGATAACAGCTCCGACCAGATTGTATTTTTGCGACATTTTTACGTGACGTGTAAAATATTTTAATCTCTTTTTTCCTAAAAATAACTATTTTTATCAAGATAACGTTATTTTTAACATGCAAAAGTTAACTTTTACGTTAAAAAACTTTTTTTTATTAGCTCTAGCCGATCTGATAAG